TTCAGGCAGTTCCTTCCTCCAGCGCAGGACAGCCTTCCTCCCCTCCATCCTCCTCCTCCAGCACCGCGTGGCCACAGGAGAAGGGGGCCAGTGCCGAGCATGCTGCGGCGGAGGAGATTCCCAAGAAGGTGCTGTCGCAGCTCCGACTACTATCAGCAAATAAACTCCCAGGCAGCTTGGGGGGGCGAGATCTCGGGCTTCCCCTTGCTCAGCAGGGACTTCTGTTCAGCTGCAGCCGGAAGGATTTTAGTCGAGAGCGCTGTGGTTATTGCTCGGAGATGACTCGTTTTTACAGCACCTGAGGATGCTCAGATGGATTGCGGGGCTGCTTTTTTAGAAGGCGACGGGATCAGAGAGTCTAACGGTAGAGTCCAGCCAAGATGAGCTCAGAGAGGAGCTGCTAAAACTCGAGGTGGTGTGGAGGGTGGGTAGGTGTGGAAAGGAAAACAGAGAGAGGCAACAGAGCAATGCAGCACTGCAGATCCACTGTTTTATTGTGGTGAGCGCTGGGCAGAGGGGACGCAAATCCCAGGCCAGGAGCACTTTGGGACAGAGCCTGCCAAGGGGAGGGACAAACACAGCAGCGCAAAGGGCTGCAGCAGCCTCCCCAAAGCCCCGGTCACTGCGGCCGGTTCCTTTCAGCAGCCGTTTCCCTGTGTCTGCTCTGGGCGTTACACCGGCGTCACCCCCGTGCCCAGACCCGCTCTGGCCCCACGCTGCACCCGGCTGCTGAGCCGCCCGTGCCCTTGGCGTTCATCCCCGCAGTGGGGACAATGGCCGGTGCTGCCTCAAGAGCCTGTGAGCCGGGAAGGTGCTGAGCTCCGGGCGGAGAAGGCCACGGTGCAGCTCACAGCGTCGGCTGCTAGGCACGGCGCAGATTTCAGCACGGAGACAAGCTGCTGCACAGGCCTCCCGCTGCACTGCAGTCAGAAACGCAGCTCCAGAGCGAGAAAGGGACTTCAGCCCCCCCGGGGGGTACGAACTCTGCACGTGGTTTTCTCTGCAAAGCATCGGAGCTGCTCTCCACACCCTCTTCCTCCGTGGGACAGAGCGCTGGGCAAAGATTTCAGCCTTCTGTGCCCGGGAACATGCAAAGCCTCCAGTTGCAGTTATTGAAAACAAACCACAAACGCTGGCTGGTTTCTGGTTGCTGGAGGAAGAGCTTGAACAATCCCCGTCTACTTGGAAAGGCAGCGCAGGGAAGACTCACCCCGAGCTCTGCTCCCTCACCTCCAGGGCTTTCAAATAAAGGCATTTCGCTCATATTGGGTTCCTGCGCACACAGGTGCGGGACGAAGCCGTTTCGTTTTGCCCGAGCGTTTCTGGAGAGGGGAGGTCAGACACTCCTATTCTGGGGAGACAGCTCATGTGGGGCTCGATGACTCCCGCCTGAGAGAGATCTCGTTAGGAGTTCATGTTGCTTAAAATGCAACTTCAATTTTCTACAATTAATGCGTGAAAAAAATTGGCTTATACTGAAAAATAGGATTTCAAGACAAATTCGGGATGGGCTTCTGTTAAATCTTTCCATTTTCACTTGCTGCTTCTTACTGACCGCTCAAGGCCAAACCGAAATCCTTTGTGAAGAGGAAAGCAGAGCAGAGAGAGACAGAAAGAATAACTTCTTGGTGTGCAGCTAAGAGGAAAAGGATCCAGGACACACCTAAGCCACTTGAAAAGAACTCAGACGCCAGTGAAAGGCCACGAAGAAAGCAGCCCAGCACAGAGGTGTGCGCAGCTGCTGTGTTACTGGGGCA